GGAAATCAGCTCTGCTTGCTGGTTTAAAAAACAAAACAACCCTGCAGGCCAACCTTGTACCTCAGAGTCTGGGCTTTAAATACACCAGGATCTTAACCTCTCTGAATTTGATTGCAAAGGACAAGCCTGTCCAGTGAAAACAAGGTGGGTGCCACTCCAATCTTGCTGTCAGCCACCCTCCATTATTACGGGATCAACGCTGGCCAATACTCCAGATCCTCGTTTTATGGTCCGAGATTTTTGACTTAGGGGAAAAAGAAAAAAATACAAGCCTAGAGATGTGAGCGAATGGTGGATCAAATGCCTGGCAGATGTGTGGTGATCTGAACTCTCCACCCTGCCTCACCCCAGAAGCTCCAGCAGAGAAACCCAGAGACAGACTAAAAACAAAAATAACCAAACAAAAAAAGGCAAAGTTAAACACACAGATAAGAAGTAATGTCACATCTTAGGAATTAACTCTCATTGTAATCCCTAACACAGTTCCACTTAAATACTTCACAAACACACCAACTCTACACACTACAGAATAACTTATTTTCCAAAGAGAAAACTTTAAATTCAGATCAAAATTATGGACCAGGCCTCAGACGCTGCCCACAGCCGGGGTAGACTAAGACTCCCGTCAAGGTACGTGGCAGGTTGCCGATGGAAAAACAGGTGCCACAGATGATGAGGATCACTGAAAATTGACTTTGTATTTTTTTTCCCAGTCCTGGGGCCTAAACTCTAGGCCTCGGCGCTGTCCCTCAGCTCTTCGGCTCAAGGCTAGAGCTCTATCACTTGAGCCACAAGTGCCACTTCCAGCTTTTTCTGCTTATGTGGTGCTGAGGAATCGAACCCAGGGCCTCATGCATGCAAGGCAAGCACTCTACCACTGAGCCAGCTTCCCAGCCCATCCCTGAGCTTCTTTTGCTCAAGGTTAGCACTCTACCACTTGAGCCATAGCCCCATTTCCAGCATTTTCTTTATATGTGGTACTGAGGAACCGAACCCAGGGCTTCATGCATGGTAGGTGAGTACTCTACCACTAAGCCACATTCCCAGCCCATTTTTTAATTTTTTTTTTCTGCTGGTACTAATTTTAAACTTGGGGTTTGCACACACCTCCAGTCCTTTCTGCCCTGGCTATCTTTGAGATAAGAGTCTCATTTTGGCTAGGACAGGCCTGGACTGAGATCTTATGTTTCCCAACATAGCTGAAATAGCTCAAAGGGAAGAGCAGCATGCCCCATGTGTGGCGGCACCTTTGAACATTTATCCAGGCTTTTCTAGAACCACATCCTCATGTCTCAGCCTTCTCCCACAGCTGAGACACCGGGCAAGTACTCCTGCATCGGTGACTAAGCTAACTGTGCTGCTAGGGCTGGCTTTACCAGCAACCCTCTGACTCCTGAGTCGCTGGGTTGCAGGCAGCAGCCATCAGTACCCAGGTCAGATTGTGGTTTGGCTTTTTGAGAGGTGGTTCTATTGTCCAGGCTGATCTCATTATCTGCCATTCTCCTGTGTGGTTGGGATTAGAGGCATGCGCCCCACCCCCAGCGGATAGCCTGGTCTGCTCTATATGCAGAAAATACACACAAGGGGGTACATGCAACCTGGGTATGCATGCTTGCAGTACATGCTGTTCACAGGAATCGCAAAGGAAATACAGAAGCCACAGAAAAGCAACTGCCCTCCAACGGAGGCTGGACCTGGAACAAGCAGATGGTTAGCTCTTCATGGGCCCGGGCTCCAGGGGCCTGAGGCATTTCCACATCTCCCTGGCTTAGAGTAGCTGGGTTTACCAGCTACTCGGATAGAGATGGACAGGAAGGATCTACCTTAAACCAAGGGGGGGGGAGGGGCACTACTGCAGCTGCCTTTTCAATAACTAGCCCCAGCCCAGCAGAGGAAGCACAGGGGAAGGTCTTATCAGGTGTTGACACAACAGAACTGGGACCACAGGCCCCATGCTAACTCTAACTTGGGAAACCACAGCCATGCCATTCTTCATTTGGATGCACTTCCACTTTAAAACTTCCAGGCGGAAAAGCCGGTGGTGAGATCTGACACTGAACTCTTCACATTCTCTCCTTCTGACAAGCCCACTGAAGGTGGGAAGGGAGAGACAAATCTTAAGAGCATGAAAGAGCTCTCAGCGGATCGCCTCCCCATCGCTGCAATTTTTTTTTCAATAACAAAGATGTTGTCAGAAATGACAATTTTTTGTGTCCCCTGATGACGGCTGGCTAGCATTTGGTTATGAGCCGTAAAGCAGGGATAATTTCAGCCTGTCAGGAGTCGCACTGATGCCCAGTTTCCCCCTAGAGAACATTCCTGTCAGGTCTAATAAGAGCTCCGAAGGCCCTCTCTACAATATAATGAGCACTTAGGCCATGCTGGTGATCAGGCAGCAAAAAGCATCCATTTGAGCCTGGCTACCCCCTGGGGGCCAGACGTCACCAGTTTTAATAAGAATTATGATTACCAGCAGCACCAAATGCCTCCTCAGAACTTATTATTAATGGGTGACATTCAGAAGGATGTTTTTCAAATGGAAGACCACTTTAAACTGAATTACAGCACATCTTTGCACACCACTCCACTGAAGGGTTTGTCAGCACTGACAGTATAAACTGAATTCCAGGGGCTTCATACCCTCCCATGAACATGGGGTCTCTCAGCTTTTCACGTTTTTCAAATTACTGGGCCAATTATACACAGCATATTATTAGCACAGAGGCTCACAGACAGACAGTATATAACCAACAAATGCCCAACACAGTACAGGAACTCATTAGGAAACTATTTTCACTCCACGGGGCTTCTGACCTTCCCTGCCCCTTCTCCCTTCTTCCTACATGATAAAGAAAAGGTCAGCCCACCATGTGCCCTACAGGAACCCAGAAGAATTACACACCTCTTTTATCTCGCCCCCTCCCCAATAAAGCCAGCACCAGTACACAACATCATAAAGGGGTGTTCCCTGTAAAAGACTCAATGAGGTTATTAAATCCTTGGAGTTTATAGGCTTACGAAAAAACTCAGTCTCCTTTTACTCTTTCTGAATGCTTATTATTTAAGAGGAAAAAAAGGCCCTTCAAGGTAAGATTAAAAAAGAAAAACCCACCAGCACCACCAGCACCATCACCACCACCATCACCATCACCACCACCACCTCCACCACCATCACCACCACCATCACCACCATCACCACCATCACCATCATCACCATCACCACCATCACCACCATCACCATCACCACCTCCACCACCTCCATCATCACCATCACCACCACCATCACCACCATCACCACACCACAGCCACCACCACCATCACCACCACCACCACCATCATCACCATTACCACCACCACCACTACCAGCACCATCACCATCACCACCACCACCACCACCACCATCATCACCATTACCACCACCACCACTACCAGCACCACCACCACCATCACCACCACCACCACCACCATCATCACCATTACCACCACCACCACTACCAGCACCACCACCGCCTCGTGGGGTGGGGGAGGGGATCAATCTTCTCAGCCAAACCTACTTGCATAATTTAAATGACCACAGTTAGCCATAGATCTGCTGACCCATTTACTCAACAAATTATAACTGCCCGCCGCCGCCCCCCCCAGTAAGGTAGAAACCACTGAAACAAAACAACCTCAATGTAAAGATGCTACCAACAGCAAATCAGAGTAAAATCAGCACTTTTTTAAAAGCCCTAATTACATTACCAGTGAAAGGCCCTGATCTTAGCTCTCTCTCCAAACACCTATCTGAGAACTGATCTCATGTACACGATAACATTATGAAACCTATGATGAATTAAAAATCAAAGAGTGCAGAGTTACAAAAGCAGAATTCAACTCTGAAACACACTTGCTTAATGAAAGTCTTTGAATATAAGGAAGATCTGAAGGCTGAACTAATCAATTTCTCCACCGTGCCCCGGCCGTCAGCGATGCTCTTTAATTTAATGAAACAAGGGTTTGAGATGAAATAGCACATATACATCAAGTAAGAATTGTATTGTTGCACTTTGAAATGTGTCCAACTGTGCAACTTCATCTGATGATAATTTTTTAAGAGGCAATCGATTTCTAAAAGACTTATTGTACCAGCGTCTTGATGAAAAAGTGAATGTCAGCATATCTCCAGAATACTCACACCCTGCCATTAATGCTTTCTTTGGCAGACAATGACTACTCAATCGAGGGTCCTCTGGGCTGAGCAATCATTTAGCTTTTCTTCTCTTATGAGGTCCTCAGTGCCTTGTTCCAGCTCAATACTCTTTTTATACACCATTATAGTGGCCATAAGTGTGAATTTTATGGGAACTTGCAAACTCATAGCTCCAGCTTTCCAGCCACTAATCTTCTCGTGCTTTTTAAACCACTAGGACTGAAGCAACTCCCGACATATGCTGAGGCTGGAAAGAAGGCTTTTTTCCTGCACCTCCAAACCCGCATCAAACAAGCATTTTTTCCAAAGGATGTGTGCTAATAAGCCAGTAATCCTGAGTGTCTCTTCACGAAGCCCCAAAGCACAGTCTACAAAGAATATTCCACACTTAGTCATATGCTTTGTTTAATCTGATTAGAGAAACTCCTAGCTGCTGTTCTTCTCCCCCCCCACCCCCGACCTCACTTCCTTCCACAAACTGCACAAAAATATCACTTAACTCTATAAGAGAACCCAGATCTTTGAACAAGGTAAATAAATCTATCCAGGTGGGAAAGTAAACCTCTGAGGCTCTGATAATTATCTGCCTATGAACAGGCAGGTTTGCATTTTCAAAACACCTCTTACCTAGTCACTTAAGTGCCACGTTAACTGTCAAGAAGCAATCTTTACTACAGAATAACCTACACCAACTCTCAGGGAGGCAGGAAAATAGCAGACAAGCCCACGACTACTGAGGACCAAGTCAGAACTGTAGCATCATATGAACTAGCTTCTCACTGCAGCTTGAGATTTAACTAAAGCTTACCTGTTTGTGCATTTCAATGTTTAATCCGTATGACATTTCGTAATACTGCAAAGAGAAAAAAAGAACTAAGCATTTCATCAACTCTCATGTCTCTGCTCAGAGCACATATTTGCTAACATCTTATGGAAAGGAAACAAAGTTCGATCTGGGATACTCACCATCACATAGTGCCTCTGCATTTCTGTCTTTTCGCTGGCCAGCTTCTCACATTCCAATTTAAGGCTAAAAAAGAAAGCAGGCAACTTAGCGTACACATTTGTGGTCACTTGTTTTAACATCTGCCTCATATTTGCACTTCAAGTAAAAACAAAGACCGATTTGGAAAAGCCGTGAACTACCTAGGTAAACGCCCCAAAGCTTTGTTCTGGTGTTTAATAGAGGAGGAGGAAGTAAAAATAAAGCACACAGTGCAGCTTCTTCCCCTCAGCGACAGCTCCTGTCCATCGTGGTGCACACCTGGTAAGACTGCAAGAATTAAAAAACAAAAACAAAACCATCCTTCCAGACGGACTGCTCCTCATGTTTGTCTGCCCCCTACTTCCTGGCATCAGCACCAGCTTCTCTGGACTGCACCAGAATCTGGTCTTTCCATGGTCTTTCATTTCCAGGATAGGTTGGACCGTATGTGCCAACGTTAGCCGTCTGGGTTTGAAAATGTGACCTGTAAAGTGACTTCAGCGCTGGCTGGTCCCTTTCAAAGGCCTTTGGTTTCTAAATCCCTGCCAAAATATGTCAAGGAGCTACTGCGATGAAGTGGGCTGAAGTTCTCCGGCTTGGTGAACATGGCATGTGCTTTGAGCTACAAGCAGACAAAGGGTCAATACTCAGAAAGCTCCCAACAAAGTAGGGAAATACACACCCAGGCCTGGATGGGGAGACCCGTCAGGAGGTGAGGGCTGGGCGGGCGGGGAGCGGGCTGGCGGGCGGCCCGGGATAGCCCTGACTGGGGCACCGGGACAGCTCCCACTTGAGGAACTTCTGAGGTAGTGTGCTCACAGCTGAGACCACACACACACACACACACACACACACACACACACACACACACACACACACACACACACACCCCGCTGGGTCCCCGCGCGGCCCTGCGGAGCGCCTTGCCCCGTCCATCCCCGCGCGGCCCTGCGCAGCACCCCGCCCCGTCCATCCCCGCCGGGCCGGAGCCTGGGATGGACTTTGTCTCGGACAACCCCGGCTTCTCCCACGGCAAACAGCGGGTTTCAACACGGCTTTGGTTCCCGAACCCCTGCTCGGTGCCGGGCATCGACCGGGCTCGGCCTGCTGGGCCCGCAGAGACGCCCGCTCCGAGCGCGGCCCCGGCGGCGGCCGGAGGGGAGACAATGGAGGCGCCGAGGGGC